ACACGGAGCGGGGCGGAGGGGGGGGGAAGATCACCGTCCACATGACAGGAAGACAGCTGCGGGGACGGGGTCAGGAGAGGCCTGAAGGGCCAGGAGTTACCTTCGGGCTGGGAAGACTCTTCTGACTTGTCATCATCCTCCAGCTTTTCCTCTTCGTCCTCCTCGGAACCCTTTTCTGAAATGGACTTGGGCCCCACGTCCGCACCGACCTCCGCTCCTCTCGGATCGCTCTTCCCAGGGCCGGGCTCGGCCTCGGCCTCGGGGTCCTGCTTCCGGTCCTTCCCGCCGCCCTCCTGCAACGCTCTGATGTGTCCCAGGAATTGAAGTGAGTCCTTTTGGAGGGTAGGTGTAAGCTGGCCTTTGCGAACTGATGCAGAAATGTTAGCAAATCTGTGATCAGAGACCGTGCCATGTGGGCCTTAATCATATACACATGTCAGCAGTCCAGGGAGGTTTTGGAAGTGCGTCAAGGTACAGAAATTGTTCCAGGCTCTGGGGAATCTCCTGTTTACAGCAGGCAGGTGAGAGCTGTGGTTTTCCTCCTGATTGTTCTGTGAACTATAATGCAGTATGATGTGTAACTCTGACACATAAAAGAACTGGAAGCTGGCCTGAGGAACGTTCTTTCCTGCTTTGCCCAAGTGCTTCGGTCCTCCATAAGTCATCATTTTCATCACTCAATCCTACTGAATTCATTTTAGCACACATTTATGGAGAGCCCACTGTGGACCACAAACAGACCCTGTGCTGGGCACGGGGGAATTCAGAGATAAACTGAGGAAGAGGCAAAAGAGAGGAAACTTGAAAACAGGTCCAAATCAGAAGGATCATTGTGATTTGGACACAGGTGGGGGCCGCCCCGCTGTTCCGTGCCCGGCGAACCTACCGCCATCTGGCTTGGCGGGCACGCGACACACCCGCCGGCACATGGCCACGAAGCAGCTGAAATACTTCTCCAGGCTCTCGTCGGACTTCTTGTCAAGCCTGGCAAAGGCTCGGAATTGGTTCCAGTCGAACTGCTGTTTCGCCGGGTCAAAAATAACCCCAAACGTGGACACCACGCGGTAAAAGTCGGCCTCTTCCCGTCTCGTCCACCTGTCAGAAAGGAGACGTTAGCCGGATTTGGGCTGCGTAAAAAGGCTTCACGTTTATTACTGCTTTTCCTCGTTTGTCCTGAACTTAGTTCACGGGGCGTGTCTCTTTCTGGGGGGGCCGCTTTGACGGCGGTTATCTTGCCTGCGATGCCTGCCTCCCGCGGGTGGAGACGCGCAGAGGAGAGGGCAAGGTACCAGGCGCTGCAGCGTAAACCCTCGGAAACTCACTTCTGCCGTTTCTCCGATATTATAGCCTCCCTTTCAGCTTCCAGGGCCCGCACTTCCTCCCGGGGCCGCCGTCTCCGCCGGTCGGTCTTCATCAGGGCCTCCTGCCTCATCTGCTGCCTTTTATAGCTGCGCTGATAGGCGGTAATGAGCCTACGCAGACGGGTGGTCAGGGTCGAGGTATTGGGCCAGTACAGCTGGCCCAACTCAGCGCTGCCCTCGCTGTGCTTGCCTGGGGAATCGAAGAGAAGATTTCTGAATGTGTAGCCATAACCTCGCCATACACAGGGTTTCCCAGCAAAACGAGATGACTCGCTAACATTCAAATGGCAGCATGGGAAAGGGCAACGTAGTGCTGTCGTTTTTAAAAAATAAGTAAGGAGTGATGTTAGTGTGGAACTGGTAAACCATTTCTTTCTCAGCTCCTTAGGGGGAAAAAAACCAAGGTCATACGTCAATCCTACATAAAGAAACATACTTTGTGCCGCAAACTACACGATAAGGGTGCTCTCCTGTAATGTGATAATCTTGAACGTAAAAAACAATCACAGGGGCTTCCCTGGTGGCGCAGTGGTTGAGAGTCTGCCTGCCAATGCAGGGGACGCGGGTTCGTGCCCCGGTCCGGGAAGATCCCACATGCCGCGGCGCGGCTGGGCCCGTGAGCCATGGCCGCTGAGCCTGCGCGTCCGGAGCCTGTGCTCCGCAACGGGAGAGGCCACGACAGTGAGAGGCCCGTGTACCGCAAAAATCAAACAAACAAACAAAAACAATCACACAATTGTTAGCTAATGATCTTACATTAGGAAAAAAGGGTAGTAGTGTCTCAATAAACTGGCAGATACTTAACAAATGCCCTGTTTTTAAGAGCTGTATTTCTAAAGGTGCTTAAAAGTTTTCACTACCTGATTTGAAACATAAATATGTAAATTATTTTAATCCAAAAAAGTTATTTTATCAAAGAAATTCAACAGAATGAAAAATGGAGAATAAACAGGCATTAGAATTCTTCACAAAAGAGGTGAGCCAGCAAAGATGAAGCGGCACTTGAAGACACCGCCGTGGTGAAAGCAGCAGCAGTCCAGCCGCAAGGCAAGGCCTGCACCCCACTCTTCAGCCCTGCTCCCCCTGGCTTTCAGGGAGTCATACCTGGGCCGCGTATTTCCATGGGTTCTTCCTTATCTTCTGGAGGAGAATTTGCAAATTCCTCAAAAGCAAAGCGAGAAAGAGAAATTATTTTAATTTGGGGTTTTATTTTGCTTTTATCTTTTAAAGAAAAGGCCGTTATCTATAAAGTTTAACAAGTCTTGATGAGCATACAATATTTTACTGGTGCCGTAAAAGTCAATGTACTCAAGTTCTTACATCTATTTCATCCTTGAACGGCGTTCTGGTTGGTTTATATTCTGGGTCTTCATCTTCTCTATCAAATTCTCCCCTATATAAAATTTTAAAAAATGTTTAAATCACACTGATTAGCAAGAGACTGAAGGGAGCCTGGGAAAGAGCAACAACCCGCCTGATGCTACTTTGAATTCTGAGTCTGACGTCCGAAGCGACTCTGTCGGTATTCAAAGCGTGCAGCCATGGGTAGGGTGTGTGTGTGTGTGTGTGTGTGTGTGTGTGTGT